CAAACCAAACCAATTTTGGTCCAAGCCACCACACCCAAAGTTCCCCCAATAACTTCAAGCTCCTCCCCATGCCACCTTCATCTTCATTGGAGCCACCATGCTCAAGGCATAAAAAATAGAGAAAAAACTTTACCTCTGTCAAAAGCTTCTGGCTATCCTCTTCTTGTCTTTGAGAATCTACCAATGATCCCCAAGCAAGCTAGAGCTCCCCCCATGGCCTCTCATGGCTATAAAAGGGGCTAACTCGAGAGCTTCCTACACAACTCAATCACCATAATCAACCACTTAAACCCTTTGCTCTGAACACCAATAATACTCATACAGACCATAGCAAATCCAACCCCACCTCGTCCACATTTCGACCTTCACCTCCTTCATTTGATGAGTCATCATTGCTAGAGCTAGAGTTATTCATGGTTGGAGGAGCATTCTTAGTCTCGAGAAGCAAGCTTTGGAGCATTTCACACTAGGGGCGTCCTTGAACTCTCCACGTAGGCAAAATCTCTAAAACCCTCACATTCTTCTTCCATTAGAGCCCCTTAAAGTTTTCTGATAGTTGATAGCTTAAGTTACTATTAGTGGAGGCTTTAGGTTAAAGCACGAGTATTATAACCCCTCCCCTTCATATTTTTGAGCAAAAACAAGGGTTATGGCTCTATATTTTAGCCCTAGTGTCGCAAAACAAGCCTTTGGTGCTGCAAGGTTATACCTTATTTTGTGTGTGGGGGCAAAGTGCCAATTCTTGGTGCCCAACACCACATCCACTCATGTTCAACAATGTTGTGACATTATTTTCACAATGTTAGAGCATCGTCTTTCGTTTGAATTTTGGTCAAGTTCTTATGTGCCACTCAGTTGCCTTGTGACCAACAGTTGCTATTACAACCATCCTAAGACCTCTGTGGTGAACCACTGTTACAACCATTAACTACAATCTTTATGGCCAAATTTCATCTTTATAGCAACCAACAACCGCTGTAAAATAAATTCACAAGCCTAATTTCTATTCACCGAGAAAGCACTCTAGTTCTTAGAATAAACAACGGTCGGCATTTTAAAGCAGTGGTATTTATGTAAATTCAATTACGCACAATAAGCCCTCGATAAACCCTAGCCAGACCGGACTGAAGGCCGATTCCTTCACTCAGCCGGTCAGTACGTTTTGTTGCCAGCACTGATGGCGAAGCGGCTGATTCCAGCTTTCAATCGCGTTCTTGTGGAGAAGATAGTTCCTTCCTCGAAGACAAATACCGGCATCCTTCTTCCCGAGAAGAGCAGCAAGGTTAGATTAGATGCACAAAACCCTGTTTTTATAATCTCAGTTTACCGAGTTTCGCTTGTTTCTTCGTTTTAACTTGCTGGATTAAGACGATTTCTATTTACATTTCGCGATGACTCTTAAAATTGAGATTTTTTTTCTTCTTCCGGCTATGTCTACCAGGCCTTTTTTTCATTTTCTATGTGAATTACTAGCTGGTGTTGTTCATAGATTCAGATTTTTGTCTTGTGTGGTTTATAGTTTTCAGTTACAAGTGTCCCTGTGATAGAAATTACTCGTTATTGGGTTCTCTGGTCGCAGGCATTGCTGTATAATCTCATGTTATTTGAAGATGCTAGTGGATTGGGCTAATGATATCTTAACTAATTTTTAAAAAAAATGACATCTATGTTCTAAGTCAGAAATATAATGTTCTCCATCTTTATATCTCGCAGTCATATTTAAAATTTTATAGGTAATTTTAAGCCAAGGCGAGCCTTTTACTGTTTTTATACTGTTTTCTCGATTGCCTTCTTTTACCTTCTGATGTATCTCTTACATTGTTTAGTTTCCAGATTTTATTGAGATATTTATAATTTATATTGATCTTTGATCGCTTAAGGTAAAATTGGCACTGCTATATTGTCTTTCCTTATTTGCTTCTATAGTATATTTTAATTTTCTTTAATTTTATCATGTTGCTGTCCATGGTGTAGCTTAACTCTGGTAAAGTTGTGGCAATTGGTCCTGGAATTCGAGATAAAGATGGGAAACACATACCTATTTCTTTGAAGGAAGGAGATGTTGTTTTTCTGCCTGACTATGGTGGAACTGAAGTGAAACTTGAAGGCAAAGAGTATGTCTTTTCTTTGTTCTCTCATTTATTTTTGGCTTGATTCTGTCTATTGGTCTTGACATTCAATTGCCATTTGGCTTGAATCATATTATTATGTTTAGCATGAGTTTGGTATATTGATTTTTGCCATGGTTTTGTACTTGTACTCTTTTTACTCTTTTATGGATATGAGTTTATCTCATACATTTCAATTAATTTCAAAGAGGGTGTGAAGCTGATTATATATATGTCTATGTGAGGTGAACTATAGACCAAATTTAACTCATGGAGCTGGTGATTATTTAGTTTAAAAATTATTAGGTTGGATTCAAACTTGGGACCACTATTTTGGAAAGTGACGACTATCCACTTAAGCTAGGCTCTTTGGGTTCAGATGACTGTAGACAAGCTAATGCGAATAGGATCAACCCAACAGCGAAAACTCTCGACTTCGTCACCTCCTTCCTCCCCTCAGCTCTACAAGGACGTCATCGTCCTTCAACGTCCTTGCCTTCGGCTTCGAGGAAGCGCTAACTTGCGCCATTCAACTCTTAGGTAAGCCGTGTTGTCTCTTTTCTCGACCCGTATGCGACAATTTATAGGTGAATTCACCTCTTCAGCTTCCCGACCTCCCCTCATTTCCTCTCCATTTTGCTCAACTCTTCGTTTTCTCTCCTCCGACAATAAAAACGAGACATTACAATCTTTTCCACTTACAAAAATTATCCTCGAAATTTACAAAATGGATCGTAAGTCATCAATCAAGCATGTTGACCTGAACTACCCATAAATTTTCTATCGAACTCCCTTCTTTTAATTTCGGGTGTAGCCATATGTATGAATGGATACTGCAACAACAACAACAACAACAAGCCTCTATCCCACTAAGTGGGGTTGGCCACAAGAATCCCTTTTTTTTCCATTGCGTCCTATTGAGTGTCATATTTTCATTTAATTCTAACAGATTAAGATAATTTTTTTATACAATATATCCAAGCCTTTTTAGGTCTATCTCTGCCTTTCTTAACATAAGTTAGATCTAAAACATCTACTCTCCTAATCAGATCATCGGATGGTCGACGTTTAATGTGACCAAACCATATAAGACGACTCTATCTAATTTTGTTTGTCACTGGAGCTACACCAACCTTATCCCAAATGTAATCATTTCGCATTTAGTCTCTAAGTGTAAAGCCACTCATCCACCAATCATTATAATCTCGACAACACTTAACTTAGTATTATGCTTCTCTTTTAAAGGCCAAAATTCAACACCATAGAGCATTGCGGGTCTCACCCGCATCTTATAAAATTTTCCTTTCAGTTTGAGCAGTACTTTCTACCACACAATAGGCCCGAAGTATTCCTTTACTTCAACCAACCAAGTTAAATTCTACTATTAACATCCCATCTATATCACTATGGCTTTGAACAATAAACCCGAGATATCTAAATCATTCACACCTTTTAATAATTTGATCACTCAAAGTTACATTTTTGTCACTAAAGCTACTATTACTAGAACCACATTCCATGTATTCAGTTATAGTTTTACTCAAATGAAGGTCTTTAGACTCCAATGTTGACCTCCATGAAGGATATCATTAGCAAAAGACCTACACCAAGGTACATCCTCCTGTAAATGTCCAGTAAGTTCATCCATAACTAAAGCAAAAAGATACGGGTTTAAAGTCGATCCCTGATGTAATCCAACATAAATAGGAAAATATTTGGTCAATCCTCATTCGGCTCGAACACAAGTAACAACTCTAGTATACATATCTTTAATGACTTGAATATAAGTCACATCCACACCTTTCTTCTCATGAACACTCCAAAGGACATATCTTGGAACCTTATCGTAAGATTTTTCTAAATCAATAAAAATCAAATGTGGGTCCTCCTTATTGTCTCTGAACTTCTCCATCAAACCTCTCAATAAATGTATAGCTTCCATGGTAGACCTTTCTGGCATAAAACCAAATTGATTATGAGATATCTTTGTAATACGTCTTAACCTATGCTCAATTACCTTCTCCCATAATTTTAAAGTATGACACATCAACTTAATTCCTCTATAACTTGCACACTCTTGTGCATCCCTTTTATTCTTAAAAATGGGGACCAAAATACTCTTCCTCCACTAAGACATTTTTTTAGTTTTAAAATAATATTAAAGATTTTAGTATGCCAAGAAACTCCCAAATCTCCTATATTTTCACACTTCAATTGAGATATCATCAGGTCTTACAAACTTTCCACCCTTTGTTTTCTTTAAATCTTTCTCAACTTCTTTATTACTAATGCGACGGTAGAAATGAAACGTTTTTATTTTTAAAAACTTTATTGAAAAGATTATCAAAATATTTCACCCACCTATGTTTAATATCTTCCTCTAAGAAAAACACTTTCTGATTTTCATCTTTAATACACTTAGATTAAATCTTTATTTTTTTTCTCTTTGTTTGACTAGTTTGTACATGTATTTTTCACCCTCCTTAGATCTAATCTATCATAAAGATCACTAAAAGCAGAATTTTTAGCGTGACAAATTATTCTTTTAAACTTTCTGCGAGCCATTTGATATTTTTACCAGTTCTCTAAGCTTTTGCAATTAAAATAATTTTTATAACATAACTTCTTTTCTTGCACGTTATTATTCCACCACTAACTATTTTTATTTATAGAAACTTTTTCTTTTGATTCTCCAAGTGCGTCTTTTGCTACTTGTTTAATAATGCTTGTTACTTCATCCCACATTTCATTTGCATCTTCATGAATATTCTAAATTTTGAAATCTTGAATTTTACTCATAAAAATAATTTTATTTGTGTCTTTTAGGTTCTTCCATCTAATTCTATGATAATGACTCATAGCATTCTTTATTTTATAATTCTTCATCTTAAAATCTAGAACTAATACTCGATTTTGATTACTTAAATTCTTATTCGGAATAATCTTACAATTATTACAATCTTGTCGGTCTCTTCTTCTCATAAGAAAACAATCAATTTGTGTTTTATTAGATTTATTCTTATAAGTAATAAGACGCTCATCGCTTTTCTTGAATAAAGTATTAGTAATAACAATCATATGCTAAAGCAAAATGTAAAATGACTCCACGCATAAACATTTATAAAATTAAAAATCTTAGTATCAATAAATATTAAAAATCTTAGTATCAATGATAATCTTAAGGGCTATAATTTAATCTCCAACTCTACTAATTTTTACAACATTATCTTTCAAACTCTTATCTATAATTACACTTACACCATTTCTAGTGCGACTCTTCCAGAATACCAAAGTTTAAAGCCTAAATTATCAATTTCCTTAGCCTTTTTTCCCACCCATTTAGTTTCTTGAATACATAAGATATTAATCTTTCTATGAATCATAATTTCAACTAATTTCATTAATTTACCATTGAGAGTATCCATATTCTAAGTTTTTATCCTAATTTTAGTTTCATTAGTTTCACGGACTAACTTTTTTACCCACATCCGCCCGTAATGTGGAAACCCTTATTTGACACTACACCCGGGTGCCGGTGTAGCGACCCTGCACATTTTTCACTGTATTCAGACCATACAACGCGTCGCTTTCATGGGACCCCCTAGCACTTACACAATGATCAAAAAGATTTATGTTATGATTTTTTTCGACAAATTTTATGCTGGTTGTCGACTACCTAACGCAACCCTCCACTTTTCACATCCGGGCTTGGGATATATATATGTTCGTTGACAACAATGACTTAAGTCCCCTCTTTCCCCGGGTTTGAATCCCAATCCCGACGGGCTTCGAATTAGCACATGTGGATTGGTTGGGGGGTCCGCCCTCCGACCAATCCTTTTATTAGAAAAATAAATAAATAAAT